GCAGGAATCAGGAATTAGACCTCGAATAGCAGCCTGAGGAGCTGAGCCTCTATTCTTAAGGTGGTGGGAGCCAGAGAAGATTTGGAGCAGAGGAAGGAAGTGATCTGACCCTGACTTAACAAGCTTTTTCTGCTGCAGAGTAGAGAGCAGACTCTTGGGTTGCAGGGAGACTAGGGAGGAGGATACTGAAATAGTCCAGGCGAGTGTTGGTGGTGACTGGACCAGAGCGGTGGCTGTGGAGGTTGGAGACATGTTGGAGTCTGGCTGGCTTTTAGGTAGGTCTGAGCAGACTCTCTGATGTGGAGGGTGGGAGAGAAGTGGAAGAGTCAGGGGAGACTCTGAGGTATGTGGCCTTGTAGTTGTCAAAGTTGATGGTAAGAGTAATTTTCAGTGGAGATGTTAGGAGTCATTTGGGACCATCTTGAACTGAGATGTTCTAGAGACATGTAAGTGGATTTGTCAAGTGGGCACCTGGAGTTCAAGTGAAGAGTTCAGATTGGCGACACCCACAACAATGATGGTGTGTGGACCAGGATGGAGCTATGGGTCAGGTTTGGCAGGGGGCACGTTCAGTTCTGGTGGCAATGCCATTAGGTAACAAAGGAGGGGAACGAATCTCTTGCTGGACACCTTGATAGGGGTGGTGGGCTTCACAAAGACACATGAGGGAGAATAATGGCATGGTGACAGGGTATAGGAGTGAGGAGGGTCTGGCTGGTGGCCAGGGTTTCATGGGGAGTGGACATGAGATGGAAACAAGGCAGCAAGATGACAGTAAAGCTGGTGGCTCCCCAGGCTCTGACCCTTGCTGGGACCTGGGATTAGCTCCAGATTAAATAGGACCCTCTGAGAGAATCAGTAGGCATGATGTGAAAGACAAGTGAGTCTGGCCTTCCAATCAGCATCAGAGGAAGCTGAGGCTGGTGAAGGGACACTTTTGTGACAGAAATGTGGAAGAGGGCTGAGGGTGTCTGAAATCTGCATGTGGTTCCAGGTGGCTGAGGATGAAACAAAGATCAGGATCAAGTAGGGAGGCCTTCAAAGCAGGCTTGGAGGTTGCCCCGAGCAGTCAGGGCCATTGGAGGCCTGTACAGGATGGGATTCTGATCACATTTCCCTAGTACCCTCTGGATGCCATGTGCACACTGGCCCATGGTGAGGCCAGGGAGAGATGCATGATGTGGTATGGGGATGGTGGTGGCTGTGAGGGGTTGAGGATATAAAGAGAGGTGTGGTAAGAAGAATGATGTGCATGTTGGGAGGGAGTGTAAACTGGTGGCCCCAGGCCCTTGTATTGGGGGCTGAGTGGAGAACAGTGACCCAAGTTTGGTTGGGTTTGGGAAGCACAATCTGGAGAACTCCGGGTGAATTGTCTGGCAGGTAAAGGGTGAGGACCTGCAGGCCAGGCCCAGAGCTTAGATGACATCTGTCTACCCATCTGCTTGTTGTTGTCAAGGGCTGAACAGTGTTTAATGGGACTGTGAGCAGAGGCTGGGCATCAGTGGCACCAGGGCCTGCTATCTCCTCTGAGGAGGAAAGCAAGGAAGGAGGGAGGATGATTGGAGAGATGCCTAGTCCTGGGAAAGACGGTTGTACATAAACTCAACTGTCTCCATCTTGGCAGGGCTGTGTGACTTTTGAGGACGTGGCTGTCTACTTCTCCTGGGAGGAGTGGGGGCTCCTTGATGAGGCCCAGAGACTTCTGTACCGCAGTGTGATGCTGGAGAACTTCGCACTGATGGCCTCTCTGGGTAAGGTCCTCCCAACCCACTCCAGTATCCTGGCCTGTACTCTGCTCTTCCGCTTTTCTCCCAAGCTGGATCATGGGCACTATTTCCTTCTCCGTGTTCTGGAGTGGGTGTTGTGTGGGCACTTAGCTCATGCCTGGGCTATGTGCACTATGCCTTCTCTCCTTGAGCTGCCTTGATGCTTGCTGCCCCAGAGCCTTGTGGGAAAGGGCTTGGGGATTAGGAGTCTTGCAGTCAGACTAATGTATCACACTGGTGGCCTCTCCCTGGCCTGGTGACACTGTGAAGATCCAGGGCTGTTCTGTGCCCCAGGTTCTGCCTTCTTCCTCTGGCTGACATACAGGATCTGCCTGTGGCAGGAATTGAGGCACCAACATGGCCACTCTTGACTGGGTTGTTCCTGTGAGACCCTTCTCCAACATTCTTTGTGTAATGTTTAGTTTTCTTTCCTGTGGTCTGTCATGGGGTGGGTCACTTTGACCCATCTGTCTTGTTTCTCCCTTAGGACTTGCATCTTCTGGGACCCAGGACATTACCCAATTGCAGCGGTGGGGAGAGCCCTTTTTGCCTGCCAGAGAAGTCATAACTGTAGCCGTGCCAAGAGGTACTTGGAGGGAGGAGCTAGACAGGCATGAGAACTCATGGAGGGGTTCAGATAGTACTAGAGTCTTTCCAGTGGACACTGATGTTTTCTATCAAGGCAAGAAGCCATGGATTTCCATCTTTTCTTTCCCAGTTGCCTGATGTCTACTCTGATTTCTGACCCAGAGCTATCCCCGCCTCCTCTGTATCACACCTGGCTCTTTCCACTGCTTCCTCTACAGTGCTCTCCAACAGTGGCCGTGTTTTGTGTTCTTTTATGAGATGGTCCGTCAGGTGTGGCCACAAGAGGACACACAGGAGAAGCTTAGGAAAAAACAAAATTTGTTGTGCTCAACAGGTCCAGAGAGACAGTCACTGCATGCCAAGTGTTGGGGGTGGAGGGGAGTCACATCAAAATAGTTACCAGGTGCCCTTTGGAGCTCCTCATTTAATTTGATTACGTTAGGTATCAGAGCATTGATGGGGGAAACAAAGCGTTGAGATTTCGATAATCAACAATTAAGTGCCACTGCTGGTAGAAGGCTTAAGCCTGGCCAAGTAGTACTACCGAAAGGAGAAACAGTGGGGATAACTGCCTCTCTTTTAGTAGATCTTGGACAAGCAGCAGAAGGCCTGCAGTACCTTGGCACACAGTGACTGTCTCTCTGGACCTGTTGAGCACAACAAATTTTCAGGAACAGTTGTGGTGTGCTCACCACTTTCACTAGAGGGGCCGCTCTGCGGGTTCTCACTTTATGGTTCTGCCTAGCAGAGCTGGGACTCTGGCTCATTCCAGCGTTGTAGGAGGCAGGCAGTGGCATCTCTGTCTACAACAGGAAAACTCAGAGCATCAGAGGTCACCATGATGGGCAGCTGTTTAATAAAGACTGTTGTAATATCCCTTTAGTTTGAATGGGTCACCTGGAATGATGGTAATTTGGGCTCTTATATCCAGTAAAGCTATGAAATGTGTATTTTTCGAGTTCTAATGAGCCACCAGTTGTTTATGGGTGATCGTCCCTGGGTGGTGTGACAAGGCCTGGGGACTGAATCCCCACTGGCGAGTCTTTGGTGGTTGCCAGTTTCTAAGCTGGAGGTATTTTTGGGTGGGCTTGGAGCAGCTCCCTGAGCTACTAGATCTGTGGGTAATAGGTAAGGCTCTTTTAATAATATCTCCTTTGGTTGTAATTTGGGGGTATTTTGCCTAGTAATTTGTTCATGAGACAGTAGGGGTCATCAGCAAATCAGGAAAGGAGCAGGCTGAATGGGTGTGATGAGCTGGACTCTGAGTCAGGTGGATGCAGCTCTCATGGCACATCATATCAGTTCCATTTGTGGCCTCCCATTTGGTGTGAATATGTGGATAAGGAAATGCTGCCCTGTATCAGAGGCGCCTGCAAAGACAACTGCTGGACTCTGTGACAAAGGGGACCTCTTCTGAATTAGAAAAGTGTTTAGGGTTTTCCTTGTCTGAATGTTCAAAGAACTGGTGGGTCCGTGAACCGCTGCAGTTTCTGTGGAGAAGCATGCGGGCCTCTGTGATACTTTTCCATCAGCATCTCCAGGCCATGAGAATCCACCTCAATGATGGCAGGGCTTCTGAATTCCAAGATGGAATAGAGGTTTCAGGTTCCTCATCTGAAGCTTTTATAATTTTATCAAAAGTCCCAGCCTCTGTCCTCCTGGGTACCTTCAGCCCTGAAATACCACGTAAGAATTGAACGCGGAGTGTCAAAGGACCTTTATATAAATTATGTATCTTGAGCTGTTTAGTAATGCCGGCAGCTGCCTCATCACTGGGGTTGTCTGAGCAGGAGCTGCAAGTCCCGTATTAACTGCTCTCAGTTACCAATCAGCTCCCTTTCCCAATGTCTTTGAAATCTTTAAGAATAGCTTGGATTTCTAGTCTTGTAAAATAATAAATTTGGTTTCTAATTCTTTGTGATCTCAGGGTACAGCCACAGGGTATTCTAGAAAGATAAGATTCACAATTTAGAGCAGAAAGTTGTGGCTGTGCCTGAGAGAGGTAACACAAAGCAGTTCAAACTGGCGCAGGACATCGATGTAACACTGGGTGATGGAAGAGCCCAACTGAGACAGCCAGTTAGTAAGTCAGGCAGTTAAGAGGCATCTCCTAAGTCCTCCCTCGCCTGTGACTAGACCATCCTGTTCGTGATGCCAACCGCTTTTTATTCTTTTATGAGATGGTCAGTTAGATGTGGTCAAAGAGGAGACACAGGAGAGGTGTGGGAATAAACAAAGTTTATTATACTCACCAGTCCCAGAGAGACAGAGTCACTGCATGCTGAAGATGGGTCACCTGGGAGGGAATGCCAGGGGAATGAACTCAATCAAGCAGGGGAGAAGTGGAGAGAACCTGCGGGTAAGTGCCTTTATTGGAGGTACACTAGAAAAGATGCGTGGGGCTTTCATTGGTGCATTTGAAGAGGGGTGGGTAGCCTTGCAGTCCTTAAACACTAGCTATTCAGTTGCATTCAGTTTTTCTGGGTGAACATACCCTTTTGTATTCATTCCTGTGTAACGAGCAGCTGGGGCCCTGCTGGAAGCCATTTGCAGGGGAGACTGCCTCTCCTTCATGAACTATATGTCATCCTGTGTCCTTGCTGCTCATGAGGCCCCCACTGAGCTGGAAGCCTATCAGGTCCAACACTGCATAGCAGGCCCTTCCTCATGCTGACCTCTGTGGCTCCTTGATCTGTAGTGGTCCCAGGGTCTCCTGACTGGGTGTGTCAGACACACATTTGTAAGGGGGCTGCCCACTCCCACTGAAGTCTACATGCACTTCATCAGCATTTCTGTACCCTCAGGAAGCTGGTGTGGAGCGGAGATTGAGGAGGCACCTTCTGAACAGAGTGTTGATGCAGGAGTGCTCAGAGCAAACTTTCATCAACACCAGAAGCTGCGCTGTGGAGAGAAACCTGTAAGAAAAGAGGCGGGGCAACATGAGAAGGACTTCCTGACCAGCTCTGGCCTTGACTGTCAGGTGACTCACAACAGTGAAGAGTTACACAGGAACACAGAAAGTGGGGAGGGCTTTCACCCCAGAAAAAGGCATTACAAGTGCGGTGAATGTGGAAAAGCATTTGGTCAGAAATATTTACTCGTTCAGCACCAGAGACTACACACTGGAGAAAAGCCTTATGGATGCAGCGAATGTGGGAAATTATTTAGCCATAAATCCAACCTTTTTATACACCAAATAGTTCACACTGGTGAAAGGCCTTATGGGTGTAGTGACTGTGGAAAATCCTTTAGCCGCAACGCGGACCTCATTCAACACCGGAGAGTTCACACTGGAGAGAAGCCTTTCACGTGCAGTGAATGTGGGAAAGCCTTCAGGCATAATTCTACACTTGTTCAGCACCATAGAATCCACACTGGAGTAAGGCCTTATGAGTGCAGCGAATGTGGGAAATTCTTTAGCTTCAACTCGAGCCTCATGAAACATCAGAGAGTTCACACTGGAGAAAGGCCTTATGAGTGCAGTGAATGTGGGAAATTCTACAGCCACAAGTCAAGCCTTATTAATCATTGGCGAGTTCACACCGGAGAAAGGCCTTATGAGTGCAGGGAATGTGGGAAATTTTTCAGCCAAAGCTCTAGCCTCATGCAACACCGAAAAGTTCACACTGGAGAAAAGCCTTTTAAGTGCAATGAATGCGGAAGATTCTTTAGCGAGAATTCCAGCCTCGTTAAACACCAGAGGGTTCACACTGGAGCAAGACCCTATGAGTGCAGAGAATGTGGGAAATTTTTTCGCCACAGCTCCAGCCTTGTTAAACATCGGAGGAGTCACACTGGGGAAATGCCATATGAGTGCAGTGATTGTGGAAAATCATTTAGCCAGCGTTTCAACCTCCTTCAACACCAGAAAGTTCACAGAGGAGAGAAGTCTTGAATGCAGCTAATGTAGAAAGACCTTTAACCAAAGGTCTGCTCTGATTCAGCAACAGAAAATTCATAACCCAGATAGGCCTTATGAATACAGGGAACGTGAAGAAAGGCTTCAGCCAAAGGCTTAATATAACCTTGTTGGGCACCAGAAAGTTGAGACTAGAGAAGGGCCTTCGGAATACAGGGCATGCTGTCTCCTGGCCAACCTAACATGACACAGAAACTTTGAGAGTAGCCTTTATCACAGAGCCAGCAGTTGCACATCATTCATCAAGTTCGCACACTGGGGGCAGGATAAGTATTGGTGGCATCAAGCGCCTCCTGAGGAGACAGCCCTCGGCCTGGGAGCATTAGGGAGGGGGTGCCCTGTGTACTTGGCTGCCTCATTCTGGAGCAGAGTTCTCATATCCCTGAGTTTGGAGGAGGGAGAGAGGAAGTGGTCTTGGTTCAAATGTGACTGGCTCTAGCTGTTTTTACTGATTAGACTTTTCTTGAATAAATGTTTCTTAATTTGCTGTATATCTTAGGACCATTTCTAGAGACTTTAAAATGTGTTTTCATAATTTCCTCCAGTCTTAATGTGAAGCAGGCCCTCAAAGCTTCTCACAGTCATGCTCGAAGTTGATCCAAATATATAACATTTTAAGAACTTGCCAAATTGTGTTCTAAATGATTATGCCATTTCATATTTCCTCTTGAGTGTATTAGATTTCCAGTTTCTTCACCTCCTCCTGACCTTTGTAGGTAAGACAAAGAGCATTCATTTTAGCCATTCTCATAGGTGTTTAGCAGTACTTCATTGTTTCAATTCATATTTCCCTAATGACTTGGTATTGAGGATTTCCCCTGTGTTCATTTGCCATCCATATGTCTTATTTAGTGAATTATCTGTTCATATCTTTGACCTACTACTAAAAGAATTGTTTTGCAACTTCTCATATATTCTGGATATTAGTTCCTCATTTGATATATGCTTTATCAATATTCTCTCACAGTCTATGGTTTTAGTTTTCATTTCTTAAGAGTATCTTTGCTTAGAGCAGAATTTCTTAATTTTCACAAAGCCCAATTTACTTATTTGTTCTTTTATTGACTGTGTATTTGGCATTGTATCCTTTTTCTCTTACAAAGTTTGGTATCTTTGCCTGTCAATAAAAGCCTTATCTGAGTATGCTATTGGAGTCTTATGAGTCTTTAAATATCCAATCTTGTGAAATCTTTAGATTTAAATGCAGATAATGAACTCAACATTTATACATATCTCCCATCTCTTCAGAGACAGCCTACAAACCAGTGACATTCCAGTAGCTATAAGTAAATTTAATGCCTAGTTATTAGCTTATACACTTAACTTTTTCAATAAAAAGAACCAGAATTCCTTAGAAAAGAGGCTACTTACAGGTTGGGGCAGGAAAGGTACAACATGAGTCTAGGAAATATTCTTTCATTAGAAAGTAAGGAAACTCTCACAGAATAATGTTGATACATTAGCTTTCTATTGCTATCCTAACAAATTACCACAAACCTATGGCTTATACAACACAAATTATATCACAGTTATGTAGGTTGTAAGTTCAACACGGGCTGGATATCACTGGGCTAACATCAAGGTGTTGGCAGAGAGTATGAGGGAGATTCTGCTCCCTGCTTGTTTGAGTTGTAGGATGATTTCAGCTCCCTGTGGACATAGGACTGATAGTCCTGGTTTTTTTGTTTTGTTTTTTTGTTTGTTTGTTTGTTTGTTTGTTTTTTGTGGCTGGCAGCTGAGGATCACCCTTGGAACATGTAAGAACTTTTACAGAATATTTAAAGATTAAACTACCAATTATATACAAACTCTTCCAAAACAAGGCTCAAACACTTCCCGATCAACTAAATGAACCCAGCACAAACATGATACCAAAAGCGATGACGTTAAAACAACTTACAGACCGATATCCACATGAATGTAGCTACAACAAAACTAACAAAATGTTAGCAAACTGAATCTGGTGACATACATATATAAACACTAATAAATCATAACAGTGTGGTTTGCTGGGAATGCAAGGTTTTAACAATCGAATCTATAATATAACCTACATTAACAGACCAAAATAAAAACAATCATTTCACAGATGTAATGAAAGCATTTCACAGATATAGTGAAAGCATTTCACAGAATTCAAAACCACTGTATAATAAAAATTCTTGAGACTAGTGCAGCAGTGCAGGGGGCAGAGAGGGCAGTGCAGGATGCCGAGTAGGTTGTGTTCCAGAGAGATGGGGCAGCAGGGCTAACACTTTGACAGCTAGCTGGAAAGAGCGCAGAGTCAGCGCTTGGGGGAGCATGAGGATAGGTTCTGGAAAAGTTAGCTTTATCCGTCTAAGTAAGAACACAGAAATCTGCACAGACCTCATCATAGATTCTATGGAGGAAAAAAAAACATTGGGAGGACCACCTAGGTTTTTGCCACACGTGGTAGTGTATATTTGGGGAATTTGACTGTGCAGCTCTTGAAAGGCGAGACACTTGTGTACACTTAAGTAAAGCAAAAGCCTTCTGTGATTATAGCACAGCAGCCTCCCCAGCCCATGCTGGGCGACATTCCCTTCAATGACGCACTGTCCATCAGTGAGGTCCCATCCTGCCAGGTTTCTTTTGGATCCTTCTGGGCTGCAGCATACAGCCTCTACCTCACAATACCAGCAGCATGATGGGACCCCACAGTCAATCTTTCATGTCACCATGATACGCAGGCCCCCAACTGAATGAGAAACCACCAGGAGGAGTTTCTGGGACACTGCCACTGCTGCCCACTTCCATAGATCCCCCATGACAACAAGGGGCACCTCAACATGGGAAGATCAATGCACACAATGAACCTTCCCCAAGGCAGGGGACCCATGGATCCTGGCCCACAGAACACGGCTGTGGCATGAGACCACCACACATCCCTTGGCCTGCCATGCCCGGGATTAAGATGGACCTGGGAAGTGGCAGGCCCTGGCCAAATCCTAACAGTGCTATGTCAATTACATCTCCTCCTCACTCAGTACCTGGTAGTGGTGGCCAGGCAAGAACGCCCATCATGCCTAGTCCTGCAGATTCAACAAATTCCGGTGATGACATTTATACAACGATTAATCCACTGTTACTTCAAGCCACATACCACATGAACAGATCATTAAGATCAGGTCATAGAAACAGACTTCCTAAAAATTCTCCTAGCAACACAAGTGGTATTAGCAATCCTCCACCCACCCTCTCTGGAAATAGTAGCAAGCTAGGAGATAACTTCCTCCACTCCATCCAGAATGACAGTTATTCTTCAAGCATGACGATGAGTGTGTGTGATCCCCACCTCTACTACTCCAAAACACAAGAGAACCAGCATTGCGGGCAGGGAAATGACAGAAATTATGCAAGTGAGGCATCTTTACTCAGGAGCTGGACAAGGGGCATCTCCTGTTCCTCCTCATCCTCCACCCACCTTTCCTGATTTTAGTTTAATGCAACAAAAAGGCCTAACTTTTTATTCCGTAAAACATGAAGGACAAACCTAAAAATAAAAATGTACTTCAAGAGAATGACCACAAAAATCCTACCTCTTGTCCTTTCCTGAAAGGAGGTTTTAGGTACATAGACACTTTATTGTTTGGGGTTTTACCATTGTTGGGATTTGTTGTTGTTGTTATCAGGGGGATATTTGGGGGAAAATTATTTTTAAGTGGAAGCTTCTAGCAAGCCCCACCCCCGTTCCAATCAACTTCTTGCTTTATTCTTTAAAAAAAAAAGAAAAAGAAAAAGACCAAAAAAGTCATGCTGTCTATGTCTATCTGCACCCAATCTGTTCCACCAGAAAAGCTAGTCTATGTGTGAGCTCTCATGCTGTCTTTGTAGCCATCTTAAAAAATAAAAAATAATAATAGTAAACAGGAAGGTTTACAAAAAAATTCTCAGCAAATTAAGATTAGATGAGAATTTCCTCAACCTGATAAAGGGCAGCTATGAAAAACCAACAGCTAACATAATATTTGCTGGTGAAAGCCTGAATGTTTCCCCTGGTACTAGGAATAATGCAAATACGTTCCTGCTCATCACTCCTACTGAACATTGTACTAGAGGTCTGTGTTAGTGATGGAAGGAAAAAAGGTGTAAAGATTGTAAAGGGAGAACCAAAACTATCTATTAACAAATGACACGATTATGTTGAGAATTCTAAATTATCCACTAAAAAGCTACCACATCTAAATGATTGAGTTTAGCAAGGTCCCAGGATAAAAAGGCCAATATACAAAAATTATTTTTTTTAATACATACTAGTAATAAATGGTAACTGAAAAACAAAATCCTTTACAATAGCATCAAAATATGAAGTATTTAGAAATAAATTTAATAAAATATGTTCAATAACTATGAGAAACTATCAAACATTGTTGAGAGATATTAAAAGCCTAACTAGTTTCACTGAATTCTGCAAAATATTTAGACTAAATAATACCACAATAATACATCCTCTCAGAAAATGGAAGATCAAATGCCTTCCAACTCATTTTGAGAGGCCAGCATAACTCTGAAAACCTATTGAGTATAACAACAAATTACAAAAACTATAGTCTTAATTAATACAAATGAAAAACCCTTAACAAAATATCGCAAATCAAATCCAGGAAAAAAAGTACAAGTAATAAAATACAAATCACTGGGTTGTATCAAAGGAGAATATGGTTGGTTGAACACTAGGGCGACAATCAACCCTTACCCCACAGTCTGTTTTCCTCTCTGCTGCCAGAGGGGGCCTGTGAAGACCTGAGTCAGAGCGTCTCCCTCCTTGGCTCTAAACCTTCTATGGCTCCCACTAACTCAGGAGAGGGGCCCAGCTCCTCACTAGGGCTGATTTCTGCCCACCTGCTCACTGGTCCCAATGGACATAGTGTAGATCTGCGACTTCACGGTCATTCCTAGTTCAGTGTCACAGCCAAGCATAGGCGCATGCTAATTCTTGTCCCCGGAACACCCGTCTCACCTCATCTGACTGGGCTCCAGAAAGTGGAAGCGCTCCATACAATCCCTGGTCTCCATTAAGGGCCATGGGCCAAGAGTGAGTCACCTCTGGGGTCCCCACACTCGAGGGCAGGAGAGGGGAAGGTGGAAAGTCCTAGACAACAGCATCTTCTACTTTGGGGCCCTAAGGCCAGCGGGGCGTGGGTCTCAGTGACTGGGGGCCTGAGGCAGGTCTACTCACCTGCACGCAGCCAGCAACGCCTCCAACGTAACCTGTGCACCGAGCGGGGACCGGGCGGGTCCCTCCAGCTTAGTCTAGCCCACATCTCGCCCAGGGTGTGACCTCGGCTGACCACACTCTGGGCCTCAGTTTCCCTCGTGTAAGAGGCACACCACCTCAGGCATCTGGAGGAAGAAGCGCGGGTACGGCCCCGGAGAGAGCAGCCTGCGGGGTCACAGCTCGATGAAGGCACTAAAGTGGGTCTACTCTGTTCCATCTTCCTCATTCGGGTCTTGAGAGCCGCCTGGGAGTCCCACCCAGGGGTGCACAGACCTGCCACAGTCACTGTGAAGTACCCAGGGGTCCCGTGCCCAAACTCTTCTGCGTCGTCATTGGATGAGTGCCTGCCACCAAAGCACAAGCATAGCCTTCTGGGTAATGTAGGTCCTAGTGCTCCATCCTAACCGGGGCCCTTCTCAGTCACAGCAATGAACACACCGCTCGTGAGAATCCCTGGGAAATAATGCTCCACGGTTTCAAATGCAGTGACTTTGGCTAGACTTCTGTGGCCGCGGTGGGCAAAGCCCCATCTTGAGCTATTAGGAGGCCCCTACCTGTGCAGCCTTAGGCAAGCTGTTTCCACCTCTCAGACCCTCAGGAAAAATATATAATTAAAAAACATAATAAACATAAAATAAGTCTGTTGTGGCGCGACTGATTCTGAGACCCACGGAGCCAATTGAGATTAATTATGAGCCTTTGTTAGCCGGCCGGCAACTGACTCTCTACCACGCAGGGTTAGAGGAGATCAGCCCCGAGCTTCCAGAGGAGGCAGCTTGTAAAGCCTCCTACTACATCCTTGAATAAGCGGATTACAAGAAGCAGAAGTTAGCCATTAACGTTTTGTACAAAGATAAACGTATCCGGGGAACTCTCAGATCAAACAGGGCCTAGTAGACAGTTTTATTATTTTCACCTTGGAATGTTGCACTTCTCCTTGGGCTGGCGTCTGGAGATATCACCTCCCTGTAACTGAGTTACTGCTCTCCCTGGGGGCTGGCATCTGGAGATACTACCTCCCTGAAACTGGAGAATTTCCACTTTTTACAAGTCCTGAGGATGTAATGTACAGTGTGGTGACTATGGTTAATACTGTATTGGTTTCTGTGTTACTTTTTTGTTTCATGTTCCACCTATGGGTGAAATCATAGGGCCAAAGTGTAACAAATGAACAAAACAGAAATATAGATACAGGCAACAGAATGGTGGTTACCAGAAGGGAAAGGGGTTGGGGAGAAGAAGAATTGGGTAAAGAAGGTCAACTATAAGGTGATGGAAGGAAGTCAGACTTTTGGTGGTGAGCACATAATAGAGTATATAGATATCGAATTATAAAGTTGTACACCTGAAATTTGGTATTAACCAATATTACCTCAATAAATAATTTAAAAAGTATTAACAAATAAAAGACTTAGGTAATAGAAAGATGGTAACTTGCTTGCATTGTCTCTGTGTACTAACATTAAATGGTACTCTAATTCAGTGGTTCCCAAACCAGTACATCAGCATCATCTGGGAATTTGTGAAAAATGCATGTACAAGGGCCCCACCCTACCATAAGTCCATGGCCTGAACCTACAGCTCCCAAGAGAGTACTAAATCCTGGGGAAGTGGGAAAACTAAAATCACAGGCCCAAGGAGATATCCCTATGGAGGAGTACAAATGAGAAAACATTTAAGACATATTTCACAATCACTTCCACTTATATTCTGTTGCCCAAAACTCATTTACATGACCCATGTAAGGGAAGCTGGTATCCATAAAGAGAAAACTGGATCGGAGAGCAACTACCCAGTTTCCGGTATAATCCACTAGCTACCCATATTATACTCCACCTACACAGTTAGCATTATTACCCTGTGGGCGATAACCCCAAACCCTGATGCCTCCATCTTAACGTTAGTATTTCTGTTCCTAACCTGAAAGCACAAGCTATAAAACAAAATAAGTTACTTGTTGTCACTCACTCCAATATAATTATGGCTCTGGAACACAGTGGAAGGACCTATTCAAGGATCTGCTGAAGAAAAAACCTAGATTTCTATATGTGGCAAAACTGTCAAGAAAGTATAACATAAGACCATTTCAAGCCAAAAAGGAGAAATATAATGGAATAGTAACACACATTAAATAAAATTCTAAGGTTATATTTAAGGACTTTGGAAAGTGATCCCAGATGAAATATTGGCAGTGATAGAAAGAATGGGGACCTAAGAGGGGAGTTCATATGTGGATTGACATACTGCTCATTATTTGCATCAAGCATGAATAACATTTCCTTGTGGAGTTACAATAATGTAATTAACATGCATAGTCTCAACACATACACTGAGATAGGGCATTGGTCCCTTATATTGCCTAGGAAGAAAATAACATATTTATAACTCTGTGCTGTTTTAAGTAAATGTCTGTAAATTTTAGCTTAAACAATAACAAAAAGAATCAGACTATTATGCTTTCTAAACCAGAATAAAGAAAACCTAGATTGTAAATAATTAATAAAAAGTTTTTTAAAAAGGATCAGAAAAAGAAGTGAGGCAAAGAAAGCTACAAAATAAGAGGACAGGTCCTCTCAGTGCCTTTACTATCTCACTATCTCTCTCACTGTCCCTCTCACTCTCTGCCTCTGAGAGACCATACTGTCTGTGGAGTGTTATCCCTTTTCTAATAAACTTTCCTTTTGACTTCAGAAAAAAAATAAGAGGACATATTTAAATCCAAATATATCAATTATCAACTGGTAAGTATGGAATGAACTAAATTAGCACTCAGTACTTTTTGATGGCTAAAAACTCCCTTCGCAAGGGATTTAATTTTCATCAATAAATTTCAAGCACAGGTTTTCAATTTCCACTCAAAGCACACCTAACATTCCATGACATCCTCAGCCACCCCACTAGCTGGTGGGGAATCAAGACCTTATGCTTGAGGTCACCAGAACCCCTAATCAAGCTTCCTAAGGCCTGAAATCAGCTGAGATGTCATTGGGACCTCCAGTATATTTTTACCAGCAAATCCCATCCTGGTGAAGAAGGAATAGGATGGCACAAGGGGTAAAATAAGAGTGACAATACTTTTAACAATATCTGACATTTAAGCATATCCACATACCCAATACCATGATAGATACTTTCCAACAGAGTCCTTTAACCTGAATAACAACCTGGTGAGGTGGGTCAGTCAACACTCTTGTTTCATAGACAATGAAGTGGAGGCTTCCAATGGCTGTCAAATCACACAGTTTACAGGGATCCAACTACCCAAAGGGTCCCTGAATAGCCCTGAGTCATGGCCATTGCTAAGTAGCACAGCTGAGAATGGTGCACGCAGGGACACAGGTCTCTTTACTGCCCTACACGGCCTCCTGCCAAAAGCCATCTAATCTGGGCAGGGCTAGGGCTCTTTCTGAGCCTGAGATATAAGGCCATGGAAAATTCAACTGCCCATGTAACTATCATGGTGACAAGGAGGAGTCCTGCCTTTTCCATGTTCAAGAAAGGGAGGCTTCAGCTTCACTCTGTCAATACACATGCTAGATGCTGGTCGAGAAACTAGAACTCAAAGACAGACCATATGTCACATTCCCATGGATGCGAAGGGCTCTCTCTTGAGGGCTGAGTGGGGGGAAAAGTCATTCCCTGAGGCTCACTTATCATTCCCATTATGCACATGTTCTGCTGGCTCTGCCTTCTAACATATCCCTGGCCATCCCCTTTCCACCATCTCCAATGCCACCATCCTGGGCCAGTCCACTGTCCACATACTCTTGGACTACATAGTGGCCTCTGTACTCAATCCTACTTCAGTTCTTGACCCTCTTCAGTGCACTCTCCATACAGCAAAGGGAGGTTTAAAGACAAATAAAGTCATTCCACCTTCCATAGCCTCCCAGAGAGTCAGAATAAAATCCATATTTCTCATGATGGCCTACAAAACTCTGTGCATCCAGACCTGCTCCCTCCATCTCACTGTACCTCTTCTCTCTCCTCCAGACACACTGGCCTTCAGCTGTTTCTAGCAACAGGCCCAGCTACTGCCTGCCTCAGAGTCTTGGCATATGCTGTCCCCTTTGCCAAGAATGCTCTTTTCCATCTTCAACCATGGCTATAGATCCTCCAACCTTCGTGGGTCTGCATGGTTCAATCATTGCCTGCTCTTCTTCCCATTCTTTACATTTTCATACATATCTTCTCACTTTTACAGACAAGGAGAAGCCTGTGGACAAGTGACATGACCAAGGTCACCCAGTTGGTAATGGAAACAGCTCAGAAGTGCTGGATTCCCAATTGTCCCAAGTCCAAGCACTTAGCTAGTGGACCACTCTTCCCGATGCCTGTTTGTTCTCCATGCCTGAGCTGACCTTGCTCTTCATTATGCCTCAAGGGAATGACAGACACATTATTATCAGAGCAGCAGAGTTCCAGACCTCACCTCTGTGTTATCAAGTGTTATCAAGCAGCAAGACCCATTTCTCAGTCTCCCATGTATCTCTGCGACTCAGGATATTATGTGGGGGGATGGAGATGAAGGGTGGGGTTCTCACAATGTCTGCCCATTATTCAGCAGGGTCCTCCACACACAGCAGGGTCCTCCACACACAGAGATTGAGATGGGGAGACATGGACCATGAAGGAAGGGGGTCTTTCACCCATTGGAATGCACATTACTCTTGCTTTGGGACAAATTGAGGCTCAGGTCTCTGTGTGTGCCATGTGGTAGCAGAGTTCTCAGGTGTGGAAAGAAGGTCTCTCTGCTGAGACCCAAGTCATGTTTCAGGAGAGATTGGTCTGCAGTCTGAGCAGTGCAAGGGCTCAGTTACAGGTAAAGGTCATTCCATGGCCATGGCATGAACTGTGCAGGCGAGGAAGGACAAGGTTTCTCTTGGATATGAACTCCTAGGTGCCAAGGAATATTGTTCCTCTGGCCAAACGATTTGCTACAGTAGTGACTTTAAGTAGGCTTGTCCCCAGTATGAGTTTGCTGATGTTGGCTGAGGTCTGCCTTCTGGTCAAAGGCCTTCCCACACCTCTTACACTTGTAGGATTTCATTCTGCTGTGACTCTTCTGATGGGTCATGAGGGTTGAGCTGTAGCTATAGGTCCTTCCACACTCACTGCACTCATAGGGCTTCTCCCTGGAGTGACACCGCATGTGTCGAGTTACGGAAGAGCTGTCACAAAAAGCTTTCCCACATTCTTGGCACTCAAAGGGTTTTTCTCCACTGTGGATTCTACTATGCCGAATAAAGTCAGAGTGGTGGGCAAAGGCCTTCCCACACTCACTGCACACGTGGGGCTTCTCTCCGCTGTGAATGCGCTGGTGCTCTGTGAGGTGGGACCTGCGGCTGAAAGCCTTCCCACACTGCCCGCACTTGTAAGGCTTCTCTCCAGTGTGGATCCGCTGGTGTTCCATGAGGTGTGACCTGCGGCTGAAAGCCTTCCTGCACTCGAAGCACTCATAGGGTTTTTCCCTGACATGAATGCTGTAATGTCTAGCGAAGTCTGCCTTCTTGAGAAAAGCTTTCCCGCACTTTTCGCATTTATAGGATTTCACTCCAGTGTGAATCCGCTGATGTTGAAGAAGGAAGCGATTCTCCATAAACTTTTCCCCACATTCCTTGCATTTATAGTTCTTCTCTCCATGAACCAAGGGGTCTTTCCTTGATTGGCGTGATTCACACTCACGGACAGCATCTTCAGGAGAGACTCGCACCTGTAAATCCTCTGAGCACAGACTGTCACCTGTTCCCAAACCATCACAGTCAGAGCTTATCTTTCTATGGAGGATTTCCATGTGGGGGACTGTCCCTGTCCACAGGAGCGCTCCCTGTTTTTCTGATGGTCCTTTTTGTTTCGTGGCTCGCCCCAGCTTGGAAACACTGGAGTCTTCATGAGTCGGTGACCTGTGGAGTAAGCATCCCTTGGACGAGGCTGGCTGAGAAGCAGGAGGTTCTGCAGTCTTGGTTTTTGCTTTGTCATCTAAAAAAAGTCCAATACGCAAGAGAAGCCTATTAGCAATGCTAACATAGAAGAAACGAAATCACTGAGCCAGTGGAAAAGGAAGATGGAAATGATGCCACTGATACCTGCTGGGTTTCCACATATCTGAAACTTTGATTTGTATATTTTTCCATTGGTCCTTGGCTTCTTGATACCTTTAAAGGGACAACCTGAGGAGAATCTGGGGCAGGAGCCAGAGTGGAGTCCCTACCTCACTGTCCAAAGGGGAGAGAAATGACAACACTCTGTGTGTTGTGTTTGTTACAAGAAAGGACATCATGTAGTGCTATGGGAACACCAGGGGCATCTAACCCAGCTGAAATGAGAGAGACAATAGGGGATGCTTCCCAGGAGAGGTGTCCTGAGATCTGAGTCCTAAAGAGGCAAGATGATTTACCAAAAATAGAAAGTGAGAGGGCACCGAGGCCGAAGGAGACAGAGTCTAGAGAGAATCCTGGATGTCCAGGGAAGTTCAGGGATGAGAGGATGGCAAGGATGCAGATAGAGATGCAGAGATGCAGAGAGGGTGCTATTTACAGGGTTTGGATGAGTGACACGGAGGACAGCCAAGGCTACTCTTAGAACAGGGCCTTGCCAAAGGAGACATATGAAGTCCACTGCACATGAAGAACAGCCAGGGGACTATAAAATAGAGGCGACCCAGTTAGAAAAATTTGAAGTGTTTACTTCAAGATATTAAAGAGAATCGATAGAAATGGAGACATTAATAACAAAGTTGTCAATTCTCCTCAAATCTATCCATAAGCTCATTACCACTCCAGATAACAGGATTGTCAATGAAACTTGACAGATTGATTCCAGAACTTACATAGAAGAGTAAAAGGCCAAGAATATTACTGAATAAAGAAGAGTAAGGAGAAGGAACTTGCCCTCCCAGGCGTTAGGGCAGTAAATTTACAGACATCAAGACAGTGTGGTATTGACACAGATATAAGAAAAACTAGTAATAGAAAACAATAGTGCTCAGAAACATTCTCATGGATGTAAGAAGTGGCATAACAGATCAGTGGGAAAAGAAGAGACGACATAACAAAACTGGAGCTAAAAAACTGGTATCCCACATGGAGAAAAACGTTATTGCATTTCTACCTCCCACCATACGCAAACTTAATTCCAGATTCATTACAACGTAAGTGGCAGAAGTCAAATTTTAAAACAT